TAACGGTTATGGTGTTTAGAGTGTTCCTCTAACCAATTATCTGGTAAGTTCCAGCAGTATCTGAGCAGCATGTTCAGTGTTCCTGTCTACTGTCCCATAATTTTCAAACACCTCAGTGTCCATTTCCTGTTGCAACAAGGAAGTGTGTTCAGGCAATTTTCTGATATTGAGTAGCACAACTGAGTAATAACCTACAGAAAACATGAAACAAGTCTGCAGGTTCTGAAAAGACATCTATATCGCCAATCAGAGTAAACATATAACAACTGCTAATGGTTATCTATGTTAATGTTTAGTGCAGATTAAACGTCTAACCATTTAACTAGATGGAATGATTTGTGCATGCCAGAACACACCTTAAAATAAAATTAATCTCAATATATTTCCTACATTTCTACACAAATTATCAAGACAAGCCCACTGTAGTGGTTATGATGCCAGGAGTGACCTAGTTTGCTCCCTTACCTGGGTCACCGTCAGCCTCCAAGGCGCCCTGGTGGACTGGTTATGCTCTTCCCAGCTTCTGCAGAGTAGGGAAGCCGGGGCCATTCATTGGCTGAGAGTATCAGCTGACTGCTTTTAGCCAATGGCTGTCATTCCGTGCAGTTAATTTTGCACAGAATTGACATTAGCCAACCCGTAACTCTAGTCCCAGGCTGGATGATGACACCCCGATGACACCGCCGGAGGTGGAGTTAAACTTCCAGCAGCAGAGGGGTTAAACTCGATATGTGCAGCGTTTCCTAGTGAGATGGTGTACACATAGACTCCAAGCACCATGATCACTTCAAATCACTAAAATGGTCATGGTGCTTGGAATAACTCTTTAAGGAGTAGCAGCATCTAGAACGAGAGGAAACCTTGCAACAAAATATCCACGTGGCAGTTTGTAACAAATCGTGTGTCTAATTTATGGATTTCTTATTTGAATTTGTTTTAATAAAGATTTGCTACATGCTGCCATTTGGATATTTTGTTACAATGTTTCCTGCTACTATTTAATTTATACACATGGACTACAGCGTTTTGACCACAACAGAGGAGTGTGGCGCTTTAAAAGACCCATCAGGTAACACTGGTAGGGCAGGCTGCCTAAATGTTCGAATTTATCACTGGAGTTCTGAATGCTTTTTTTTCCATGTATTTTGCTTATAACTCTTTAAGGAGAATTGCTTTCCATGTCATTACCAAGCTGCTGTTTTCCATTTGTCCCACTACAAACCCTTCCCCATCACACGTCTCCCCCTTTTTTATTTTGTCTGCTCTTATCATGGCTCTCTTCCTTCTTTTTTTCAATCCTTTCTTTACCTTAGGACCCATTTTCTCCAGTGTTGTTCTATTATTTTCCTTTCTCTCATTTGTGTAACCGAAGGCTGCTATGTGCAATTGGCAATAGTCCACATGTGATGTTGGTATGTAACTTGCTGTACGATTACTGTATACGAGATTATATCTAATGGCCTTATTTGTGCCAATTGTACTTTGCACTTCTCTAGAAAATCAGTACTTCTTAAAATAGTTTAATAACATTTGAAACAATTAAAACGTCCCATTCCAAATGATTATTTTAGACGATAACAACCTTAGTTAGAAAGTAAGAAGTTAACGAATACATTTGTTGTAAAATCTTAGTAAAGCAGAATGTGGGGTACATACGCCTCAATTCCTGTTTCATTTTTGTCATTGATTCTTCCCCCTCGCCAAGCTTCTGAAGTTTTTCCCTGGATGCATCAAAATCCGGTCTTGGATGTGCTGGTGGGATCTGTCAAGAGAATAGAACAATGAGAAACATGCTGTTTATTTGAGGCCAAGGTTTTATTTCCTTTTTCCTGATTTACATCAGTGGTAACCCTAAATGTCCCATGTCCTGTGCTTAGTGAATGCACTAACTATAAACAAGAACCTTGCTGAGGATGAGTTCCCAGTCCATCATCTGGAGTGATGCACTAGTCTCGCGCATGCTCAGAGCCTCTAGAAGATTTCCAGGGGTGTGCTAGGACGCATGTACAGCACAGGAGCCGGTTGATCCCCGTCACTGGACAGGAAGTGGGGTATGGAAATCTGATAGGTATGTAACTTTGACAGAACACCGGCCCACTCACGCTTCACTGCTAGAGGGGGAGAGGGAGGGACATGGGAGGCTGAGCAGGCAGTTTGTAGCGTTGCTGCGTGTTACCATGACAATGCTCCGACACAGCGCTGATCATGCGAGAGGACAAGAGATAAGTGAAAGGTTAGCCTGCTACCAGAGGAACTGCACGCTAAAGTTCATGCGGCAACACTGGACCATCAGGGCCTGCAAAGTCACCCCTTCTGGGCAAACAGTACGAACAAGGGTGTGGGAAGATAAGGTTTAATTTCCCCTTTTTAGATAAAAATTATTTTAGAAATGAGCGTGTACCCTCCTCGCACACAATATAGATCCTATGTACCCCTCACACTGGCATACTGCACCTCCTACACACAATATAGACCCTATGTACCCCTCACACTGGCATACTGCACCTCCTACACACAATATAGACCCTATGTACCCCTCACACTGGCATACTGCACCTCCTACACACAATATAGACCCTATGTACCCCTCACACTGGCATACTGCACCTCCTACACACAATATAGACCCTATGTACCCCTCACACTGGCATACTGCACCTCCTACACACAATATAGACCCTATGCACCCCTCACACACACACTGTACCCCTCACTGCAGTCTTTCTCTGTATTCAGCAGTCTGACTGTGTGTACTCGACAATCTGTCTGTGTGTATTCGGCAATCTGTCTGTCTGTCTATTCAGCGATATGTGTTTGTGTCTATGCACGCAATCTGTGTGTGTATGTTTTCAGCAGTATGTGTGTGTTTTCAGCAGTTTTTGTGTGTGTGTATTCCGCGATCTGTGTGTGTGTGTATGGAGCAGTCTGTGTGTGTATGTTTTCAGCAGTCTTTTTGTGTGTGGGTAGTCAGCAGTCTCTGTGTGTGTGGGTATTCAGAAGTATGTGTGTGTGTACTCAGCAGTATGTGTGTGCATTCAGCAGTATGAGTGTGTATTCAACAGTCTGTATGTGTATGTATTCAGCAGCCTGTGTATTTGTATTCAGCAGTCTGTGTGTATTTAGCAGACTCTGTGTTTGTGTGTATTCAGCACTGTGTGTGTGTGTATTCAGCCATCTATATGTGTGTACTCAGTAGTCTGTGCATTCAGCAGTCTGTATGTGTATGTATTCAGCAGTCTCTGTGTGTGTACTCAGCAGTCTGTGTACTAAGCAGTCTGTGTGTATGTATTTAGCAATATGTCTACGTGTGCGAATTCAGTTGTCTGTGTGTGCGTACTCAGCAGTCTTTCTGTGTATACTCGGCAGTCTGTCAGCTGTATATGTGTGTGCATACTCAGCAGTCTGTCTGTATATACTCGGCACTATGATTGTGCGTACTCAGCAGTCTGTGTATGCTTGGCAGTCTGATCGTGCATACTCAGCAGTCTGTCTGTATATACTCGGCACTCTGATTGTGCGTACTCAGCAGTCTGTGTATGCTTGGCAGTCTGATCGTGCGTACTCAGCAGTCTGTCTGTATATACTCGGCACTCTGTGCGTACTCAGCAGTCCGTGTATACTTGGCAGTCTGATCGTGCGTACTCAGCAGTCTGTCTGTATATACTCGGCACTCTGTGCGTACTCAGCAGTCTGTGCGTGTGTACTCGGCAGTCTGTGTATACTTGGCAGTCTGATCGTGCATACTCAGCAGTCTGTCTGTATATACGCGGCACTCTGATTGTGCGTACTCAGCAGTCTGTGCGTGTGTACTCTGTGTTAAATCTTCAGTCTGTGTATACTCAGCACTCTGATTGTGCATACTCAGCAGTCTGTGCGTGTATACTTGGCAGTCTGTGTTAAATCTTCAGTCTGTGTATACTCGGCACTCTGATTGTGCATACTCAGCAGTCTGTGCGTGTATACTTGGCAGTCTGTGTTAAATCTTCAGTCTGTGTATACTTAGCACTCTAATTGTGCATACTCAGCAGTCTGTGCGTGTGTACTTGGCAGTCTGTGTATACTCGGCACTGTGTTAAATCTTCAGTCTGTGTATACTTGGCACTCTAATTGTGCATACTCGGCAGTCTGTGCGTGTGTACTTGGCAGTCTGTGTTAAATCTTCAGCCTGTGTATACTTGGCACTCTGATTGTGCATATTCGGCAGTCTGTGCGTGTGTAGTCGGCAGTCTGTATTAAATCTTCAGTCTGTGTATACTCGGCACTCTGATTGTGCATACTCGGCAGTCTGTGTTAAAGCTTTAGTCTGTGTATACTTGGCACTCTGTGCATACTCAGCAGTCTCTGCGTATGTACTTGGCAGTCTGTGTATACTCGGCACTCTGTTAAATCTTCAGTCTGTGTATGCTTGGCACTCTGTGCATACTCAGCAGTCTGTGCGTGTGTACTCGGCAGTCTGTGTATATTCGGCACTCTGTGTTAAATCTTCAGTCTGTGTACATTTGGCACTCTGATTGTGCATCGGCAGTCTGTGTGTGTGCACTCGGCAGTCTGTGTATACTTGGCACTCTTAAATCTTCAGTCTGTGTGTACTCGGCAGTCTGTGCGTGTGTACTCGGCACTCTGTGTATACTCGGCAGTCTGTGTATACTCGGCACTCTGATTGTGCATACTCGGCAGTCTGTGTACTTGGCACTCTGTGTGTACTCGGCAGTCTGTGCGTACTCGGCACTCTGAGTGTACTCGGCAGTCTGTGTTAAATCTTCGGTCTTTGTATACTTGGCACTCTGAATGTGCATACTCGGCACTCTGTGCGTACTCGGCAGTCTGTGTACTTGGCACTCTGTGCGTACTCGGCAGTCTGTGTACTTGGCACTCTGTATATACTTGGCACTCTGTATATACTCGGCAGTCTGTGTACTTGGCAGTCTGTGTATACTCGGCAGTCTGGCTTCATTTTAGCGATAATCTCCTAATGAATTTCCTTCTCTCAGTGCCTGTGTAGGCAGGGCCTATATAATGCTGGTAAGACCGCCCTGAAATGGGACTTTACTTCCTGCTCGACCTACGTTTCTACACGTTCCACTTGGATTTCCTTTCTCTGTGTGCTCGTTCCTGCGGCTGTGTGTGTCTCGGCTCTCCTCCTTTGTCGCTGGATTTTTAGCCAATTTGGGAATAAATTCACCCCGGATATAACGCTCTCCTCACACGAGCCAAAGCATGGTAAGAACGCTCTATTTAGAGCGTCTCGAATGTCGTGAAACGTTTTCTTAGTATGGAGATTCTCTAAGATTGCAGGGCGATTACCGTGATACATTTTACATAATCTATAGATCTATATATAAAATGTGTGAGATAATCACAGACCTATAACAGACAGCAGACTGTCTTACAGCATACATCACAGAAAATACATTAAATGTAAATTATTATTTTTTATTTTTTTTTTAAATTTCGGTTTTTATTTATTTGTGTTTGATTAATGGCCTACGCACGTAGATGAGAAGCGTTATATTTTTTTTTTTTTAAAACACTTTTTCACTAAACTGAGAATTGTACAGAATTCGAGAGAAATCCAAATTTGATCAATACAGCTGCACAGTATGAAGAAGTAATCCGTTTTTAGGCATTTTTATTTTAGCCTCGATTTATTTTTTTTTCTTCCCATTCTAGATTCTCAGTTTAAATAAAATAAAATGGTCTCTCCTGATTTTGATCCTTTAAATATAACGCTGATCAACTGAAATATATCTACAGCAAATAATGCTATTCCAGCTTCTTTTCATAACTTGCATAGTCAAGTGACCATTAAATAGATCCTAGTGAAACACCCCACCCCACCCTGCCTCCATCATTGGTGTGAGCTAGAGTACTGCAGAGTGGAGTGATTTACTAAGTACTGATAGCTGGGAGTGCTTTCTATACCGCAAGGGGGCTTTTAAGAATGATCGTCCTTTAGAATGATGGGAGTTGCAGTGAATTAGCAGCTAGATTGTCATTTGTTAGGCTCCAGGATTCGTAAGATCTCCTTAAAAGGACAGATGACTGAGCATAATCTTACAACGTGAGTCTCCATAGATACCAATCAGTAGAACTGAAATCTTAATATAATATGTCTTTTTTAGCTGATTATGCATCAGCTAAATATTTAATTTAAAATAATATATATATATATTTTTTTTTTTTTTTTTTTGCCGAAGAAGTCCTTTATGTAACTGGAGAAAGGGCTGAGTCATGCAGACCAAGAACAGTCTTTATTTAAAAAACAAAAAACCCAAAACACTTTATTTTTTTACTACTTGAGAATCGATGACCGTGACATTGTAGCAATCTGTTTTCGAAATGGAACGATCCCCTGCAGAGCAGCCATTACTAAATAGCGTGGGTAATTTTTTTGTTTTGGAACTGAATAGTTAAAGAAATGATTGTGATGTCACTGGTATTTAAGGGGTTAAAAGAACATTTTATAATTATTTTAATGATTGTTGGGATCCTCCGTTGAAATGGTAGATATAGAGGATGATTAACCACAAGGCCACACTAGGCAACTGGCTGGGGCCCATGGGTAGAACAATACATTTGCTTGGCCTTATTAACTACCCCTATGTGAAGAATGAAGGGTGGGGGGGTTGTGGGATCTTAATCCCTGTCCTGGCAGATGTCCAGAGTATTGAAAATATCAATAACAATAAAACTGTAAAATGTTAAATGGGTGGGGGCAGCTTGGCCTACATTAAGCAACTTCCTTAATTGAGATGGGGATATCTCAAACTAGAAATGGAATTCATGAACATGGCTCCATTTGCTATAGAAGCCATTTTGTTTCACTGATTTTTAGACTTTAGACGTCATAAACTGATCGAGCACTTGGCTAAAGTTACATTTCTCAGGTGGTGATTTTAAAGTTTGGAAAGTAGGTACCTATTCAAACCTAATGGTTGCAGGTTTGATTCCTGGCAGAGCTAACATTGTTCACTAAATTGTGAATTAATTGGAAATCCTAGTGAATTTCAAATTGCACATCAAAATATCTGAATTGAAAAATATCTTTAACTCCTTTTTTTTTTTTTTTTATATATTCTCTTGCTCAATAGTGTCAACTGCCCAATATCAGAGCGTTCTGATTACTTATTGCCATTATCCTTAGTGTTATTTGAGTGGGATGTATGCAAGCCTCCCATAACATGAACCTTTTAAAGACCTCAACAGGGATCAAAACTTCCACTAGCCATTGGCAAGTGAAAATGTAACCTTGTCCAGTCAGTGGTGAGTGTGCCACTGAATGTCCAGGTGTGTAGTAATTGAGCAACTACAAAGGCCTGGTTTGTAACATTTCAAGCCCTGCCTTTAGTTCTTTGACGCATGATGGATTTAAAAAAATAAATAAAAATCTTTTGATATAGCTATGTTTAGGCGATAGTCCTTTTCTTTGTTTTATGCCTTACTAACATTTCTAGGACATTGTTTGTACCTTCTGTTTTTCGCAGCAAAATAACTGAGAAATCAACAGTGATAAAATAACGCCAATTAGGGAATCATAGGCTGGAATTATGGCCCATAAGACAGTGCTCTGAAAATGTGTTAACTCTTGATTGGTACAAAGTTGCATCATGCCCTCAGACATGAATACACTTTTGTGTTGCACATTCAAATCTTGGGCAGCTATTCATGAACCAACACCGACCTGTGTGGGTTTTTTTTTTTTTTTTTTTCCATATGGGGGCTCCCCCAGCGCTGCAGTAAGGGTTCAGGTTAAAGCCGAGATCTCTAAATTAAAGTCCATGGTTTACGAGGGTCTTCACCATTGAAAATAATTTTGCTCACAAAGCATGTGAACTGGAGTAATGCAACTATAACTAATGGGATATATATATATTTTTTTTTTTGCATAAACCAAGAACCATTGGCTATGAGTTGTGATATTTTTTTTTTTTTTGCTAAAATCTGTTAATTTTGTGAACTGTGCATGCTGGGCACTGCATGTAGGCAGCATAGGGAGGAAAAGCAGGAGTGAGCAGCTCCAGACCCTCACTCACTCCCATCAACCTCATCCAGCATCACCAGGACTCGAGCAAGCCACCCTCCTGGACAGAAAAGGCAAGCTAATAGGAGGGTGGCTGCAAATCTAAAAATTATGACGCATGCCAAACTGTGTGTGCATGCATCAGTGTGTAAATGGTTGCAATATATCTTGTTTAAAAAGTCATTTCCTTGTTTGTACATGTTTGGAGACTGCGTGTGTAGGGGGGGAGGGGAGTAGCTGGTGAAGCCACCGCCCTAAATAGTTTTTGGTTTTTCTTTGCATGTTGGTATGCCTGCCAGATAATTCACTATAGATGTCTCAGGAGCGCTAGAGTCAAAGGTGTAATGCAGAGGAAAAGGAGACTGTTATCAGGAAACCGTTTCTCTAGATTTTTACTGTAATGGTCAGTAACTGTATAGGCCACAAACTTTTGAAATGCTCCCTGTAAGGAGGGATATGTTAAGATTTTTAAAGTTATAGTTTACTTACATAGACCATTGTGTATATACACAGATAAGTGGATACTAAGAAGTTCAGACGCAGGGCTGCACTTGGCCAGATACATGATATAGCATTCCCAAGTGTCCCTATTCAGCTGCTACACCCCTTTCATTATCATTCAATAACCAGGTTTACACGCGTAAATTGTGCATTTCGAATGTTAGGCCACAATAGATGAATTAGAACATTTCTCCAATTATGTCTTGGATTTGACAAACTTTTCCAGATTTATCTAGAAAAATGCCCATAGACTTCAATGGTGACATCCATAACCGTAACAGGATTTAATAATTTCGAAATCTTATTAAAGCAAGGCCTATGCTATCAGTTCAGCTACTTGTGAACGGCAGAGCTTCACAGCAGTGTTAATTTTGGTGGAAAATTTCAACTTGGATTTAGTCCGTCTTTTGACCTAAAGCGGTTTTAGTCGTATTTTTAGACATCTGAATTGTTTTAGTTGACACAACTAAAATGTAATGGGTTTTGTTAGTCTGTCACTTTTGCCCCTTCCACAGCCTGTCTGTCCTCAGAGCATCTCTAGATGTCTCTCTCCCAAGTCCTGGTGTCTCATTTATTTATATTATAAATGTATTTCTCCCCCCCCCCCCTCTATGTCCACCTGTGCAGTGTTTATTTTGGCAAATTTCAATTTAGTTTGTCAGTCTTTTTGACTTAAAAGACGTTTTAGTCATATTTGTCATCTGAATTGTTTTTATTTTAGTCTACTAAATCTCACAAATCTTAGTCCACAAAATGAACACCACTTCACAGCCGTTAAACCCGTAATGTGTCTAAATCATATTAAACATATTTAGAAACTTAGTCTATTAGCAATATACTTTAGTCGTCTTCTTCAAACTGACTTTTTCAACGATATAAATAAATATTAACTTTAACTCATAGTCCAACAAAATACCGGGCTCTCTCGTTGACCAAATTAAGCAACTTTTATTACAAAAAATATTTCACAATAAACATCGCCAGTAAAGGGAACGGTCATAGAAAAAGGGATGTAAAAAAAAAAAAGGTAAGGTAAAGCACTGTGTGACTCACACGTAGTCATACGAATCAGAAACTAAAGACAAGCTTCCCTTTTATGGCAAAAAGAGCATAGCATATGAATCACGTGGCAGTCTCTGGTCTTTGCCCTTAAAGTGACAGCACTTTTATTTTTAATTTATGGAATGTCAGTCTAGTGTGAATGCTTTTCCGGCTGACTGCCTCATGGCTTTCCTAATTAAGGCACAGCGCTCTCCGCATGGACATAGTGCCCTCAGGGCAGTACATCTAATAATGCACCCACCAGGTGCTGCATGGCATCTATTGCATCGGGGAACAAAATCAAGATGGCGAGACAGGACCCTAAAATCAGGAACAGCTAGGAGGCCTGATATATAACCATTTTGTAGGCAAAAATGTATCCATATAGAATAGTTGCTTGGAAAGAGATTTGTCAATAAAAATGTCTTTCTATAAATCTGAAGACCATATTCACACCAGAGTCATGTTCTTAACACTTAATCAAGCTGTAGTATATTTGTATTGAAAATCTGACTGGTTTTATTGTGGAGGGGCAGCCATTTCAAAATTGCTTCATAGGCTCTGTTTATGTGGGTTTTTTTTATTTTTTATTTTTTTTTTATCCCAGTTAGTCACTGATATTCATAACTAGTCCTGCACATAGCATGTCCTATCAGCAGCCATTCTCTCTAAGATTTAGCAGTCTCTCTCTCAGATTTCCAGATGAAATTTGGAGGCATTTAATTTGATAAGTGCCCAATTTTGGGCAAAGCTTGCACGGTGTCCTGAGGCTTACAGCGAAGACCCCCATTATTCCTATCCAGATTCTAAACACCAAAAACCACTGCAGGATGAGTACTTACTGTAAACGTCCCCAAACTGGCTTGCTGTCCCGCTGACTCTACTCCTCACCTGGGAAGTACCCGCTGGCAAGATGGCGCAAAGACCTATATTAAAGGGAACTTACCTGGGAACTTACTGAATGGTAGGCGTATTCCACGACAGATGCAGGCTCTTGTCAGAATTTCTGTCTATGGTGGAGTTTGGCAGCTTCATGTTCCCCATGTGGGTTGAGGTGGCTTACAGTTTCTGACTGGGTTCTTCATTGTGTCTCTAATCTCAATTGGTAACTTGGTGGAGGTTTCTCATTCGTTTTCATTCTGTTTTGCAACACCTTCTCTAACTATACAGTTTCTATGCATTGTTAGTCTTGTTTTCCTTTTAAAATGTCCAAAAACATTTTACTTACCTGATTCCAGCGCCAATGTCTCTCAGTGCTTGGTCGTGCTCCTCCTTTGCCGACGTCAGCCAATCAGGGGAACCTAAGGAACATGCGCCACACGCACATTAGGTCTTCCCAATATGAAAGCATTGATTCATGTTTTCCCTTTGGGTTTTTTTTTTTTTTTTCATTTACATTGCAGTGCTAAGGGGGACAGACACTGGACCCAGACCACTTCAATTAGATGAAGTGGTCTGGGTGCCTATAACGTCCCTTTAAGCTCGAGATCTGTCTTGAATTTTAGAATCCAATACTGTCAAGGTTTTTTAGCAAAGTGAGATTTCAAATTTAAGGGCAGAGTAGCTAAACTGAATGGCTGACTTAGAGAATTTCGATTTTATTAGAAGTTCGATTTTTGAAATTCACTTTAAAGTCTCACTTTAGTAATAACTTGAATTAAATGGACACTACAGGAACCAAAATAACTTCATCTAAATAAAGTTGGTATGGTGCCAGGAGGCCCCCAGAGGTACTCTTACCCAGTGTTAATTTTGTCGACTAACCATTTTAGTCAAATTTTTGGGATTTAATCAACTAAAACAATCCAGATGACTAAAATACGGCTAAAACTGAAATGGCTTTAAGTCAAAAGACTATGCCTAAAACTAAATTGAAATCTGCCGCCAAAACTAACTGTGGTTAAACCGTTACAGTTAACCCAAAGTTGCTTCAGGCATCAATGTCCACCCCCCCCCGCAGCAGCAGCAGCAGCATCATCCGGTTTATGAAATTTAGTTTCCTGTGTCAGTGTGTTTCAGTTTGTGTATCTACCAGTGTGTATCTTTGTCAGTGTGTAGATAGTTGCAATATGTTAAATAGTTGTGTTCTGTCACTATAAAATGTAACTTCCTTGTTCATGTTTGGAGGCTGTGGGAGGGGGGGGGAGATAGCTCTTAAAGCCACTGCCAGGGAAATAAATTTTTTGTTATGCATGGTGGGATGTCTGCCAGATACTTCTCTTGTTAACTTATTACTAAAAGTGTTTCAGGAGCGCTAGTCAAAGGTATAATGCAGAGGAATGATTCATTATTAGGAAAACCTAATATAAACAAAATCTGTCTAGATTTTACGTAAGTGATCAGTAACTATTATCCAGACTTTTGAAATGCTCCTCTCTAAGGAGGTATATTTTACATGCACAGACCTTTGTGTATATACCAGGGGTAGGCAACCTTTGACACTCCAGATGTTGGGGACTACACCCACAATGCTAGCAAAGCATCATGGGAGGTGTAGTCCAAAACATCTAGAGTGCCAAAGGTTGCCTATGCCTGGTATATACAGCGATAAGTGGATGCTTAGGAAAAGCTCAGACGCAGGGCTGCAATTGGCCAAATAGATACTGAATCCTTCCCTAGTGTCTCTATTCAGCTGCTACACACCTTTTATTAGTGAACTTCAAATGTTGGGACATAAAATCCCTTTAGTTTTTATCTCTTGTGAATTGTCAGCCTAGCGTGAATGCTTCCCAGGCTGGCTGACTGCTTTGTGGCTTTCCAATTTGGCCAGACAGTGCAGAGTGCAGCTGAAATGCTCTTGGCATGGTCCTAGTGCCCTCAGTGCAGTTGAATCTAATGATGCACTCACCTGGTGCTGCATGGCATCTGTTACCTGATACCCCTAGGTGTTGGACATTTAGACAAAGTTGTTTTGGTCCCTTTAATTCATACCTAACAAACACTTGGTCAGAGACAGATCATTATGTCATAGAGGCAGTAGTTAGCAGGAACCTGTCCTGGCCATAACCAATTGGCTCTTTTAAAGTGCATCAACTTAAATCTATACATGTTGCCAGCAAATCAAATGTATTGGGGATTCACCGAAATTTTCGTCCGAAAATGGGCCTATCCCATTTCAGACGTAAACTGCTGAAAAATCAGGCATAGTGACTTGTCAGGTCGAAGGGAGAGAGACCGTAGAGACTGCAGCTCCGCCAGGTGTGAGCTGCAGACTGTGCTGTAAAAATTAAACCACCGCATGCCTAAAACCTTCAGTTCTCACCTGGTGGCTCCCAAGCCGCCTCCTGGAACCGCTACAAATCACTGCCGCTCTCCTCCTGGGCGCCGCCATCTTGCAGCCAGGTCTCGTGTCTGACAGGACCACGCACTGCCGCAGCGCTACCGTGTGCCTGGAAGTGACGTGTCAGCAGTGGGAAAGCCTGGGGCAAACATGGTCACACCGCAAGCTGTAAGTTACAGCCCGGCGGCCGGACAGCTCATAAATTGTTGTTCTGCCCAGATGGTTGATGAAGTGCTTTGTCCTAGTACCAGTCCACTCCTGCATTTCTAAATAGAGTGCTGTCAGATTTCAAAATGACCAGATCCTTGGGAGTTGGAACTTTTTTTATATATATATATTTTTTTTTTTCCTCTCTCGCAGGACAGTCTGAGCAAATTCGCAACTGTTGGCACCTATGTTTGCCACTTCCTGGGGGTTATTATTAATCAGTATTTCAATTCCCATCAGCTGGCCAGTGTGCTGCTCACCATGTGTATTCCATCAGTGACATATGGTATCTGTCATGTAGTTGTACACAGATTAACAGAAATTAAATAAATTTAATAGAAAACCATAATTGAATGCAATCTAAAGTGAATTGGATTCTAAATGGCACAAATAATTGGATAAAGGGAAAACTCTTTTAAAAGCATTTGTGGGGAAAAGTCACTTCTAGCAAAAGTGCATGCGCTATGGAAACTCCCTAGCCAACGCTGTTACCGCTGGCTAGCAATGCTATTGGCGCTGGCTAGAGAGTATAAGATGCTGACATTTTGGGAATGATGTTGTGGCATGCCAGCGTCACGGAGGAAGTGTGTAGTATTGAGTGTCCCCAAGCCAGGAAAGTCAACGAAGACTGGTAGGAGCAAGGGTGGTCCTCCCTCCACGTGACACAAAATTAAAGTAACACCCACCTCCTCTAAGGACAATCTGGGAATGATGGGCTAGGTAAATAATGGCAGGTTCTCTGTAAATTCCTTTCACTGATTCTAGCAGGTGATGGATGCCAAAATGTTCCTACAAATCACCATGATAGATGATCTAGGCATCATAAGAATTTTAGTACAAACATAACTGCAGGGATAATGTTTTGGCCAACTCTGTGTTTTTATTGTCAGAATATTATGTTTTGAGTATTTTGGATTAATTTTTAATTGTGAAAATTCTAAACGGCATATTCTCACTTAGCCTATGACATCAGTACTATGTCACAATGTGTATCGTTACAAAGACAGAACCAGTACCATCACTGGATAGGCAGATACATTTATTTACAACAATATATTGTTTATTCAGAGGAGTCACACAATCCTATATAAACACGTGCTCACTGTCATTGGCTGAAGCCTACCTGGCACTGAAAGCTGTGGGAGTTGGCGCATGCGGCACCGAGTTGCTTTAACTTGTAAAGGGAGACTGTATGGTAGCCCATGAATGAGAATTACTCCCATAATGGCATACCATTTTGCAAAAGCAGACAACCGAAGGTATTGCAAATGGGGTATGTCCAGCCTTTTCTAGTGGCCACTTAGTCACAAATTAGCATTCAGATTAGTGTTTTTATTTATTTTTATTTATTTTTTTTTATTTTTTTTTATTTTTTTTTATTTCATACAAACCTAGTCAAATAACAGGTTTTGCTTTGATCAGAACATGTACAATTGCCTGTGCCCTTAAGGGGTTAAAACGGCACACTAACAGCCACACCTATATTTTACTTTCATAAAAGCTGCATACTTAAAGCAGAAAGTATGCAGATATACCTGAAATTCATCAATAGGTATCAATCCACTCCACATAATGACACCTTTACACACTTTTTTTTTTTTTTCTGTAGTTGTATATCGTTACATATTTCTGCAAGGTATACTGTTATCTTATTCTCTACTCATGTTTGTATATTTTATTAATCGCCTTATTACACTTAATCCATCCTATGTTTTAGAAAGATAATGGGCTTTCCCCCTTGGATGTATTTTTTAAATATTTTCCGACTTTAATTTACTATGTCATATATGCTGGCCACACAAGGTCTGCACCCTTTCAATCAATTCTCTTCTGTCTCGTTTCCACTGAGCAGTATGGTTCGGGTCGGTACGGTTCAGAAGGGTTAGAATGGTCCAGCCTACTCAGGTGAGGGTTTCCACTGCAAGTCGTACCAGCAGGGTTTAGACAAATGCCTAGCATGTCATTTGTCATGAGCATTGACTTTTTCCTCTCTGCCAATCAATGGATTGTATAGTGTGATGCCAGTTGCTCTGCCCTAACAGTACCATTTCCTATGGACCTACATCTGAAGGGGGCCCAGAAATGGTGGGGGTTTGGTTTGATTTGTATGAGCCACTTTCATAATGGAAATACTCAAAATAGTGTACCGCTCAGTGGAAATTAGGCATAAGACTAGTCACAATTAAAGGAGCACTCTGAAGTCACAGCAATTCAGGTGAAGTGCGCTATGGGTGTAGTGTATTCATCTAATCCCCATTTATAGAAGTGCCAATTTCATTGTGAAATTAGCCTTTTTATGATTTTAAAATAGAAACGCCCACCCAGCTGTCAAACAGTTGGGGAGAATAACTTCCTGCTTTCGTTGGCTCCTGCCTTACAATATTGGCCCCCAAAACTGCCCGGGGGTGCAATCGCCAGGTGACTGGCAGGAGGAGACGTACTCCACTCCTGCCGGTCAGTTCTGTGTATCTCTGTATGCCTGTCTATGTAAGCCTGTACCTGAATCTGTATGCTTGTCTCTGCATACCTGTTTAAGGCCAGCGTGTCTGTCACTGTGTGCCTACCTTGGTGTTTGTGCAGCGATCAGTGCTTTCCTATGGGGAAAAATCCTAGGCTGGATGTCCTCATGCAGAGCGTGGGGATGTCCAGCGTCAGACACTGGACCAAAGGTCTCTTACGATGCAGGAAGCTGCTCCAGTGGCTTTGGTAGACAGCCACTAGAAACTGACTTAGTGCTGCAATGTAAAACATTGCAGCACTAAGTGCAAAAGTCACACTGCACCCAGACCACTTCAATTAGCTGAATTGGTATGGGTGCCTATAGACTGAATCCCTTTAAGAAATATCTCCAAACCGTTTGTCTGACGAAGATACTGAAGATGTACTACTATATGAAGATGTGACATTTCAGAGTGCACAGGAGAGGAAATGCTCTGTTAAACAGCTGACAATTGTTCACGTTTATTTTTTGCAGACTGACCCCAAGGTGGGTGAGTTAGCCCACAAGGGCCAAGATCACATAATGTCCATGGCAGATTATCAATTTAGATTAAGACTTTTTATTTTTATTTATTTTTATTCTTTTGCGGTTCTTGTTACTTTTGCTTTAACACTAGTTATCTCTCTTTACAGGCATCTGGTGTGAAAATAAATGATAAGGTCGTCCAAGTCTTCAATGAAATGAAGGTGAGGAAATCTTCCACTCCAGAGGAGATCAAGAAGAGGAAGAAGGCAATCCTGTTCTGCATGAGCCCTGACAATAAGGAAGTAATTTTGGAGCAAGATAAGCAGATCTTGGTGGGAGACATTGGTGACACAGTAGAAGATCCTTACAAGACCTTTGTCAGTCTTCTACCACTTACCGACTGCCGATACGCACTATATGATGCTAGTTATGAAACCAGAGAGACCAGGAAAGAGGACCTCGTCTTTATTTTCTGGTATATTGTTTCATATAATGTTGAGAAATGCAAATTGTTAATGTGTTCAATCAGGTTTACTAAACATGCATTTAAAGGGATATTAAGCACCAAAACAACTTTAGAATATTATGGTGGTTTTGGTGTATAGATCATGCTGAATTGTCTTTTAGTTCATTGTCCAGCTTTTTTTTTTTTTTTTTTTTTTTTTTTTTTTTTTTTTTTTTTTTTTTTTGCTTTCCTGAACCCAGTTCTCCCCTGTTCATAAAAGGGGCCATTACTCGGTTGTGACCCTTCCCCACCACCAATTTTCATATTTGCTCTGGATAGGATCATAAAAAATAATATATTCAGAAATTTTATTTATTTTTTTTTTTTTAAAGATTTTTGCCTAAAATGTTCAATTTACTTCTCCCTGGATTCTGATTTAGAGGATAAACCTGATATATTTCTAACTGGTGTGAAAGCAGGACCCACCAAGTACATATAAGAAACATTCCGTGATCTAAGGTGGCTTGTGGTGGCCTTATTAAAATTCAGCTGTAACATTTTAAGGATTAAAAAGCATTTGAAACTGTTCATTTTAAAATACTGTTCAGTTTTAAACATACTTTATTCTTAATATATGGATAAGGGACAGCTTCCTAAAATCTGTTAGTGGAGACTGCAATTACTCTCTATAGTGCTGTTGATACCAAAATCCTTTTATATGCTTTTCCTAACTTTGTCATGGGAATACATTTTGAGGTGTCAATATGAGATGTATCCGTATTTAACGATTTCATTGCTTTTATTTTGTTGACCTAATTAGAATGCTTTACAGCTGTCATATGGTTAAAAAAAAAAAAAAAAATAAACAAATTTGAGACCTAAAGACCTTTACATTACTTTGTCATTGCTGTTTGGACAAAACTGGTCAATTCTGACATTGGACTTCAAAAATTCATTATGAAAATCTTTGGTTGGGTTTTTTCTTTTCTTCTCTGCTACATTGGACAGACTACCAAACGGCAGTGCCGTAAATCAAGGGTGCAAAATCTTGTCCCTTCATATTCGCTCTATCGATGTTTGGTTTTTTTTGTTTAGTTTTTTTTTATTATGAATGTTCTTTAATTTGTGTTAATTAAATTATACCTTATGCTTAACACACAAATGCAACTTTCATTTACTTATACAATTTCAGTAATTTGTTTTTTGTTCGACAAAAATGCTGTCTTTTGTGGAACTGATCATGTTACTAATTCTCTGTGCTAATTCACATTTGGTTTTTAGGGCTCCTGATAATGCATCTCTGAAAAGCAAGATGATATATGCTGCCACCAAAGATGCACTTAGGAAAAAATTTCCTGGTAAGTATAATGTACCCCAATTTTTTTTGGTTGTGACATGGTTCATAATAGTCATACCCTGTGGCTTGCACAGAAGCCGATATTTTTTTTAAATTTTTTTTTCTTTTTTTGCCGCCAAATGTTTCCAGCAAGTCAACAAGGGGCGGCAGGGAGCATTGTGGGTCAGTGATAGTCACCGATCACTAGCAAATGCTGTGACTCTGTAACGTCACCCATCGGTATGCCCCCTAAACCCCTGTAGCTTCTAAATCGCTGTCACTAACGGGTCGATGGCAAGATTAAACAGCAAAGGCAAGAGCGGGCAACCCTGGCACTCCCCGTTCCCAGGGCAAAGTATGGAGAGTCCAGGCCATTTGTGGTAATATAGGTGGTGGGGTAATGTAAATTTTGAGTAAAATGGACAAATGTGTCCTAAGTATCCAAACTTTAACACCCTAATCAGGGGCGGCCAGGTTATGCTATCAAAAGCCTTCTCTGTCAAGGCTAATAAGGGATTGGGAGTATGAGTCTAGTTCCCCACGTGTGGCATAAGCCACGGCGGCAAGAGCTCTGCAGAACCCTGTCTCTCCCTGCACAAAGCCCAGTTGGTGAGAGGTGAGTTTCTGTGGCAGAAACTATTGTATTATCAGAGCAATAATTTTGGTAAGGAGTTTGACATCCTGATTAAGTAATGATATTGGGCGATAGGATGCTAAATTCTCAGCATCCCTGTTGGGTTTGGGTATCAGAATTATTCTGGCTTGATTTAAGTTAATCGATTGACAGGCCTTCTAAATATATTGAACAAGTTTGAGTGGGACTAAGCTGTTTCAGGGATTTTTTTTTTTTTTTTTTAGTACTCTGTGGTAAAGCTGTCAGGACCAGGTGCTTTCCATGTCTTGCTATGTGAATTTCAGTCTCAAAGATGGGTTCACTGAGAAGTTCCCTGGACTCCTCAGTCAGCTGGGGGAGGTCAAGGCTCTTGAGGAAAGCCATGCTAGGTCTATGGTCAAAGAAAACAATATGTGTACACAAACCAAAGTGCAATTAGTGCTCAATTATATATAAGCAGAAAGAAACCTCCCTGTATGGGTTAAAGCTTCCAATAGTATCCACAAAGACTTCCTCTTGTCTTCCACGAAATATAAGTGAAAAATAAGGTATGATCTGACATTCACTGGAGATAGAAAGCCGTAAGCATAAATTCATTCTTGGGATTCAATTCTTCCATCTGTGATTTAAATACAGATGGAAGAATTGAATCCTGAGAAGGAATTTATGCTTAAGACTTTCTAACTCCAGTGAATGTCAGATCATCCCCTATTTGCTTGTCTGTGGTCATCCAGCTATGCTCCAGTTATTGTTATGTAGTAATCCTAGAATAGTTTGGCCATATGGGAGGTATTCCTAGTCCTGTCTGGGGAAGTGATTGCTGTAATAGGCTTGACTTTGGGTCGGCCCTTTGAGCCATTGATTTCCCAGACCTTCCACCGCACCAAAAGAAATGTTTGGAAGTCTAGCTTTGATTGTGCATGGTTTGCTATGAATGTATTTAGGGTGTGTTCGGCATCTTGGTATGACTTCCTGTGTGTTTGAAGGGTTGGTCAAGTAGTGGCTATGGGCTCGTTTGAGCTCCTGTTCGAGTGAAGCCCCTCCACTGTTTCTTTTTTTGACTGCCGTGTATGACCATATCTGTCCCCTCATCACCGCCTTGGATCTCTCCCACAGTAATTTAGGGTCATCCACATGTTCCAGATTATCATCTACAAAGTTAGCCCAACTAGTCTGTAAGTGGTACTGGAAAGATGGTGTGTGTGTGTGTGTGGTGGTGGTTTTTTTTTTTTTTTTTGTAAGCTACGCTGGGAAACACCAATGTGCAGTAATGGGGTGTGGGGGCTGTGTGGAGAAAAGTAGCTTGACCGGTGCGTGATCAGATGGGGCTTGTCTCTAGTGGAGCAGTTGGCATATGGTAAAACTGTTGGGGTAACCAGGAACATATCAATTCAAGAGGAGTTGTGAATTATATAGTGGAATGTGTAGTCTTTCATTATCATGGAGTATCCTCCAGGGGTCATACAAATTAAAGGAAGTTGTGATCTGAAGGAGCCTGCAATCACTGTCCTTGGGCGAGTCAAGGACAGCATTAAAGTCTCCCCCATTATAAGCTGATCAACCTCTATCTGAGTGAGCAACGTGAGGCGCTTCGTTAAAAAAAGGGGGCGGTAGGGGTTTTGGGCATCAACATTGATTATGCAAGAACACGTGTTATTGGGAACACATAAAATAGAACGTCCCTCAGGATCAATATCACAGCTGTGGATCACATATTGCAGGCTGGAGTGTAGGCGAATCGCCACACCTCTAGCCTTAGTTGTATTTGGCTGCTGTGCAGGATTGAATCCATGGAGCCTTGGAGGGACCAGTGGGTTTCCTGGCATAGGACAATTTGAGACTGATGTTTAAAAAGGTATGTTAAGATTATTTTCCCTCTTGATAGGTGTATTTGCTCCCCTCACATTCCAAGAGAGAAGTTTAAGGGTAGAGGCTGGAGTGTTTGTGGTAGACATTCTAGCCAATACCCTTTCATGGGAAGCAGCAAAACATAGCTAGGTGCATGGGGTTGGGATTCTGTTCATCCCAGTACGAGCAAACAGATAAATACCAGGGTCAGAGTGTACATTGAGTGCTGCAAAACTGGCTAAACAAGGGCCCTTGAGCCCAAACTATGTACAACAGGGGCATCAAAGTATGGATAACAATGCAATCACTTCACACCGCGGGCAGGTGTGGAGCTGGCAGAAGGCCCAGGAGAAGCTCTGTCCCAATCTGGCAGGGCATGTCGTAGAAATTCAGAGGCTTCAGTCACTGAAGTTGTTTTCTATCCCAACTTGGAGACGTAGTGTTGCAGGGTAGAGAAGAGCAAAGCATATGACATTCTTGTGCGGTGCTGAACAGATGGGCATGAATGCCTTGCGTCGTTGAGTAACCTGTGCAGAATAATCTTTGAAAATCAGGATTCTGTTACCTTAATATGTGGGGTCTAGGTTTTTGTAAGCTGTGAATTTGTTTTCTATCATGGGAATGAAAAAAATTTAGCTATGAAAGGTCTTGATCATGTTTTATTGCCTGAGTTCTCTGGGCCCAGTCTGTGAGCACGTTTGATGAGAAGAGTGTCAGAGGTGGTTGCAAAGTGTCAAAGCCAGGACTGGAGAGTGGGGAATGATATTGCCAGACTTCACGGATTCTGGGAAGCCAACAAATCTGAGACTGTTCTGGTGGGTTCTTTTTTCTCTCTCTCTCTCTCTCCTTCTAGGTCCTCCAACTTGTTCTGTAGGGAAGTCAGAGTATTATACTGTTGCCTAATCGTTGTTTGTAACTGGTGCACCTCATCCTCCGTGGCACCCAGTCTTGTTTCCAGCAAGGAGAGTTGAGAAGATGGACTGCATGATCTACTGATTATTTAATGTCCTTAAATTGAGATTCAATTATTGGTTTAAGGAGGCTGGAAACCTCCCGAGTGGTTTCTGAGGCTTGTTGTAAAATTTGGTTAGTAGTGGGGCTTATCTGATTGGGTTCCTCATCTGTGTCCAAACGGTCAGTGAGCGATCAGGAGTAGCGGCTGGTGTAGGATCTTTGAGGTGTATCTTTTTGGTTGGTCTTTGACAAAACTCCAAGAGACCGCAAGGAAAAGCTCAATGAACTTATCCATGGTGGTGGAGTACTGATAAGGAGGGAAAAAGCAAGATAGTAGGAGAGAGGGACTTGACTTTAAGAGCAAATGTGATCTTTGGGAAGATGACACTAGTGGGCAGAGACAGGGTGTCAAGCCTACCGTGTTGTGGTGGACAACTATGGTGATTATGTGTTTAATGAGGTAAGAATGGCCTAATGAGGATAGGTAGGGAGCATGGGGAATTTGAGAGAAGCAAAGGGTGAAAGGAGGAGCGAGAACCACTAGGTGAAGTCTCTGAAATTGCGGTGGGTAGGTGGACTGCTGCCAGTCAGGATTGGATAGAAACTTTAGACATGTTGGATATTTCAATGTAAGCCATTAAACCAGTCTGTTAGGGCAAGAGTACGGTGCAGACAGAATGAAAGCTCAGCAAGAACTGTCTCTGTATATAGACAGGTTGTCTGGCAAGCGTAGGGCTCTTATCAAACGTGCCGCTACAGAGGGTTGGAATCCAAGAGGGGAGCTTCAGTAGCTCTGCTACCATAGGTATAGGAAGCAGGTTTAGTAGGAGGGCAAGAGCAATTGAGGCGTAAGCAGTGGCACAGGGTGATGTGAGCAGAGAGACAGCCTAGTAGCAAGGTCACCAGTTTGGAGTGGCAGTAGTAAGGGGCGATGGAAAGCAGGAGACCTGGGTATATAAAATAAAGCAAGGTAAGCGCAGTGAGTCCCATAGACAGTGCTAATTTCTGTGTGACAACCTGGCCTCAGAATTGAGGTATATGAGTAAGTGCCATCTGGCTACATTCATGAGATGTGAGTTCACAGGCAGCCTCAGCTTGTGAATGTGTGGCTGTATCCCAGCTAGCTGTGTGTGGTCTAGAGGCTGCACAGAGGGGAAAGTGCAAACAGGAGGTACAGCATTAAGAGGTGAAGCGGTACCTGCTGCGGTATCCACCGTGAGTGATCTGGGTCTCCTGGCTTCGAGGATCTGAGTATCAGCCTCACCAGTCTCAGAGCTGCAGGGTCCTTAGCCGTTGCGGTCGGGCAATGTGGCCTATCCTAGAGGCCTTGACTTCCAGCCCTCGCTGTCAAATGGTGGAGCAGTGCTCTCTGCTCCAAGGGAGTCAGGTCAATCAGGGAGGATATGAGGAGGCAAGCCTAGTGCTTGGAGTAGCTCTACACAGCACCCCAGCGTCGGATGGAGTCTGCTATACCGAGAAGAGGTAAGTGAAGACGCAGCCAGCTAAAATGGTGGCGGAATTAGAAGTCTTGATTAAAGGAACTTTTTAAGCACCATAACCACTACAACATACTGTAGTAGTCATCAGGGCTGATGGTGAGTGAACTCCAGCCTATGGAGCTAGAGTTCACGTTTGCAAGATCTGTAGCGTTGCCATGATAACCATTTCAATGCTCCAACCTTGTGAGGAACCCGGCAGCCAAATGTAACTGCCTGTGGGCCGATGAGGGATATCTTGGAGATGGCACTCTGATAATGTACTGGCCGGAGAGACTTCTTGATCTCCCTGGCCCATCGCGAAGCACTGTATGGGCCTGGTAGTCATGCCAGGTGTCCACTTGCACCTCTTCCCACTGAGAGCTGAACCCGCCTCCACTACAGCCTACAGGAAAGCCAGAAGCTCTGAGCTAAGCCTGGCAATGCAGGGCTTAGCTCATTGGCCGAGAGTGATCAGCCAACACTCAGCTAGCTCCCCACTGAATGCCTTAGCTGAGGAGAGCAAGGATGCTGAGGAGGCAGGAAGCCCCAGGTTCTAAACCAGTTTTACAACTTGCAATGGTGAGGTGCCAGTGTTTATGGTTCCTTTAAGTGTTTGTATAACTGTGTAATAACTACATGATACAGCCATTAATTATGCTCACTAATTGCGTATTTTTATTTTTTTTGTAGGTATAAAACACGAATGGCAGGTAAATGGTTTGGATGATATTAAAGACCGTTGTGCCCTGGCAGAGAAACTCGCGGGAGGTACAGTGGTCTCACTTGAAGGGATTCCACTATAATCTCATTACCACCTTGCAGTAAACGGCCGGTAATCGGTTTCTATTCGGACCACAGAGAAGAGTATAGCTTCATATTGTTTTTTTACTCTACTAACTTTTGTCTTCTCATGATTTCATTCCTTCCAAGCCTAATTGTTTTTTTGAGAAAAAAATTGAAATGTTAATACACCACAAAAATAAAACATTAATTAATAAAGTTATAACAAATAGAACACACATTGCCTCCTGCCTTCAGCAAATGTATATTCTAACAAAGATCAATGGAATGATGGACAAGAATAAAAAGGGTTAAATTTTCCATTTCAAAGAACGATTGATTGATCAATCTAGATTCTATTTAAACTAGTTCAAGAATTAAAAAAAAGTTTAAGTAGGATAAACAAATTCTATATGTAAAACCCTACATAAATAGGGTGAATACTACTCTGAAATGTATTAAAAATATTTATATGCTTTTATTTTAAAGGGATACTATAAGTGTCAGGAATACAAAGCTGTATTCCTGGCACTATGGCTCCACCTCCCACCACCCCCAGTAAAGGGCTAAACCTTTATTTAATTTTTCCCAGCGTTGATTGCTGGGCCAACGCTCTGCCCCTCAGTCCCACGACGAGTGGGCTCTAGTGTGCATGTGTTGAACGTGCCACACGCACATTAGACCTCCCCATAGGAAAGCCTCAAATCTATGCTTTCCTATGGAGACAAATCTGATGCTGGAAGTCCTCGTGCAGAGCCTGAGGATGTCCAGTGTCAGATGCCAGACCAAAGGTCTGTTTCAATTCAGGAAGCCCTCTACCAGACAGCCACTGAGGGCAGATTCAGAAAGCCCTCTAGTGGCTGTCTAGTAGACAGCCATTAGAGGTTGACTTAGTGCTGCATTGTAAACCTTGCAGCTCTCTAGAACTGCAATGTTTTACATTGCAGCACTAGGTACAAAAGGGACATAGCACCCAGACCACTTCAATGAGCTAAAGTGGTCTGGGTGCCTACAGTGTGTTCCTGTAGCTTTATATAAGCTCTAATTCAGGTTTACATCTATGATTACGATAATCTTACAACTTGGGACAAAGCACATTTTCTTAGAAAAAGTCTTGCGATGTGAAATCTCATATGTTCCTTTAAAGCAGCAGTGGAGAACCTTCTATCTGCCAAGGGCCATTTTGATACTTAAAACATAATTTGCAGGCCATACAAAATGATCAACTTAAAAATTAGCCTGTTGTATTTGGTCAAACATTAAATTTACTCACTCCTAATGTGATGGCTGGAACTGCTTCTTTTTGGTGTGATGTTAGCTGGCATTGATGTTTCTACTTGCAGTAAGAATGCTCTAACGTGTCTTTTTGCGGGAGGATCACAGCCTCCTTGTCAAGCTGGCTCCTTACTTCCCTCTCGCTTAACAAACTGCCCAGAGACTGGTGAGGGAGATCTTTGATCTCCCCACCTGCCCGAATATATGGCAGACAGCAGGGCCGGCTCTCCACGGGCCGCTCCAAATTATTTTTACCAACCTTATCCGACCTGTGGGCTGGATGTTCCCTGCTTTAAAGTACTTTTTTTTTTTTTTTTTTTTTAAATATCACAAGGCTAAAGGCAATCTAATATTATTTTTAATATATTACAAACAAATGCATACGAAAACATTCTGCAAACTTTTTTTTTTTTTTTTTTAATATAAAGGAATAAATATGTTCAAACTGGTTAGAAATGTAACTTTCAATAACCTTTTTGGTGCAGTGTCAACCAAATATTATGGTAACTTATAATTAATCAATGCATCGATATATGCATTCCCATGATCGGTTTCAGACCAAAGTTGTAGCTTGGCGTTTGTAATAAACAAAAGATTTTGAAGAAAAAAGCTTATTACGTTCATGGGTGTTTTTGGGTAGCAAAAATGGCTTAGCAAAAAAATACAAACAGGGTTATTCACTAAACATTGAATTGCATCCAAATGGCAAGATTAAACCTAAAGTTAAATTGGAGAAACAACATTAACAAACTAATTTTACCTCAGATTTTTGCCATTCAGATCAAATTTTCAAAAATGTAGTTAGTGTAAACCCTGCATGCAGTGCTGTTTTTCACAAGGCATTTGCCTTGGACAGACCTTTCCAGGTGGGCGGCAAACACTGCCACTAAACGCCTCATCAGTTGCCATTTTAGCCTAGTGTACTGGGGGGCCATGTGTATTGCAGGTGTGCAGAGGGAGCGCTATCCTCTGTGCTGCTCTTGTTCTGCTCCCTAGTGCAAACAGCTGTGATGCTGGGAGCCGATGACATCACTTCAGCATCTCTAAGCGGTGCACGAAGGAGCTGAGCGAGAACATTACAGCTCCCTCTCTGCCTCCATTGCGTGCCTGCCCAGCTGCCCTAGGGAGGCTGGGTGGCCTTTAAAAATTTGTGTGAGAATTTTCTGTCAGTGTACCTAATAAAGCTTAAATAACAGCACCCTCAAAATAAATTTTTAAGGCTACTTAGTCCCTTACCTCTGCAAAACAATATGGGGATTCGTGTCCACCATATGACGATATCGTGTTAAGCACACCACTTCTTCACAGTACCCCAATATTGGTGAGGCCTACACCAATTCAAATGTGGGAGACAGACTAAACAGTTAGTGGTAATAAGCAAAAGTGTATTATAATAACCTGTAAGAGCATTGTGTGTGTGTGTGTGTGTGTGTGTGTGTGTATGTATGTGTGTATCAAAATGTGATCGTTATAAAAAAAAATTGCAGTGACAAATCTAAGTTAGTGCTTTGAGTATACTTACAATGCATATAACTGTACATCATTCTGCAGAAAGTTCAGATGCATGTTAAATATGCACAGAAATGCTACGGACCAACAGTAGTTGAATATTGACAATAAAAAAAGGGCTGTAAGTACCGTTTAATTAGTAACTCACACCTGTCGCATTCTGTGTTTAATCATGTTCTACATAGCAAGACTACAGTGTGGTGGGCATCTAACTGCCTGGCTGTCTAGGCATTTGGATCTTGCACTGTCCCTGCTCACTTGTAGGAGATCTTGCAAAAGCGAATAGAGAATAAGAAATCTGACCTACAAGACAATCTATTACATCATCCTGCACCACAACTAATTGAAAAAATACCTCTAGTGCACGGTCCTCCTGCACTCCCATCTTTGCAACATAGCACTTGCTATGCCAATGCCTGAGATACATTTCCGCACGCCTTAGAAAGTTATATCCACAAGATCAGGGCTCAAAAGGAAAAGTCCCGTGCTACTAGAAACTTCTAAAAGTTACTAGGCACCCAAACCACTTCAGCTCATTAAAGTGATCTGGGTGCAGTATCCCAGGTCCCTTAACCCTGCAAAAGTCATTACTGCAGTGTAGAAGAAACTTGGTGGGTTAAGGGCGCTATGCATGGGGACGTCCAGCGTCACCCAAAAACCCCATAGGAAAGCATTGTATAATTGCTTTCATATGGCGAAATATTAATGCAAGCACAGCCATTGCCTGTGTATGTGCAATAGGTTTCCCCAGACAGCTAATTGCGGGGGAGGAGTGAAGGCAGAACCAAGCCAGTGCTGAGGGACATCTACACTTGACTGAATTACCGTAAGTGACAGAACAGCCTGCACCACAGGGGGAAGCTATAGTGTCAGGAAAACAACTTGTTTTCCTGGCACTATAGTTTCCATTTAAGCATGGAGCGTTTATAACACTCGCACTGGATTAATTTATACCTGATAGGGATTTTGATAATCATAAAGTGTCTAATGAACCCTCTATTAAAAAAAAGAAATCACACTTCTTATTCTCTTACCACAAGTGAAAGGGAGGGTTAAACAGACACGCTACGCACCATACAACATAGTCATTGCGCAGGTTCTGGTGCAGGTAGGTCCCCTGTCACTGCACTTTGCACATAGTAACTTATCACAGTGATCTGCAAACACCTTACCTCCCCAGCTCCCAGGGTGTGTCCCAGCTACAGCATTCCATATATTGCCAGCTCTGGCAATCTCTGTGAACACTCCTATTTTCAAAACTCGACAAATTGTGAATAGGCTCATAGCACAATATGGCTGCAATCAGCTCGTCTATTAGTAGAACTATAAATGGATGCTGAACTACATATCCCACAGACCACTGCTAGACAGGAATTTATTGGAGAAGGAAAAAAAACAGCAAAACATAAAATATTAGTACAATACAGGCTATAGGTTTTTGAGCTAGGAGGTATCTCCCTGTTTCTACTTGCAGAGTACCAGCATAATTAGTAGAGTCTTTTAAGTTGCTTTCCTTTAATTATTGAATCATCCACAAAATGGACTAAACATAATCTGTAATTTCCAACCTATAATGACCCTGTATTATAAACCAGAGAAACGCCAATATCTTCCTCTTCTTTAAAGGAACTTTATGGGGTCAGGAACACAAACATGTATTCCTGACCCTATAGTGTTAAAAACACCATTTAGCAGGTGGAGCTTAGCGACTGTTCCAGACGGATGCACTATATATGAGCTCCGAAGCAGACCGTGAATAAAAGCAATGAAACCCTGATTAATTGCTCAATTCTGAGCAGGGATGCAGTTCTGGCAGATATGGGTCGGAGGACCAAAAGGTAAGAACCTGATTGTGCATACATATTGGAGATCTCTGAAAGGCACCAGGTGCAACTGGGCCCAAGATGACTGCCTTTGATGAGTATTCTCACTCATCAGAGGAGCTACCCTTTAGCATGGAGGCCGAGGACTTACCTGCTAACCTGCAATCCCAGTTGATCCCACGGAGCACAGACTCTAGGTCAGTGACAACAGCTGTCCTAGAAGAGCTGTTAGCAGATCTCCCAAAAAAACATCCATACCGACTTTACATCGGTCCGCACTGCGTTCACAGCCCTCATTGGTCGAATGGGCTCTGTGTAAACCAAGTCTAAGGGCCAAGGGCAGAAAATAATCTTGCATGAAACTGCGGTTCTAACACTGCAGCAACAGCAAAATACATATGTGCAACGTTTCTCTACTCTCGAAGACATGAGGCGGAGCAAGAACTTAAAGAACCCGGGGAATTTCGGAAGTGGTCCCTGCAGCACAATTACCACACTTTCTGAGGCGTCTGCTCGTTGCCCTGCTGTCGCCTAAGCAGGCCTATCCCGCACGCTCATGGTCCTGCGAGGCGACTCGTCTTACCCAGTTCAAGACCTACAGGGAGCAGCCGCTTTCCTAGAGACCCTCAGTCTCCCACAAAACTCTCTGAAGCAGTCCAGCCCACCTCAAGCACCTAAGGCGACCCAGTGAACAACTCCATTCCTGCCCCAACAGACCCCCCCCCCTTATACCGATGCAGAAGCCACAAGTTGAAACACTACATTGCCTTTTTAGTTAGATCCGTTTACCATACTATAAATGCAGAGTCAGTTTTATTGGTTTTCAAATATACACTATACTGTTCCATACCATATGCTGAAACGTACCCTGCTTTCACATTGGTTGAATTAATGTCCAACATGACAATGACCTGCCTGCTTGCCTGACATCATCAGAAGTGGTGATCACAGTGAATCACAATGCATTCACGTAGAATTGGCTGAGACTGTCAAGGAGGCAGATCAGGGACAGAGTCAGCACAAGCCAAACACAGCCCTGGCCAATCAGCATCCCTATGAATCAATGCATTCCTATGAGGAAAGTTCAGTGTCTCCATGCAGAGGGTGAAGACGCCGAATCACAGTCACACTGTGCAACACTGCCCCAGGAAGCACCTCTAGTAGCCATCTGAGGAGTGGCCAGTGGAGTTATCACTAGGCTGTAATGTAAACACTGCCATTTCTCTGAAAAAACAAAAAGAACAAAACAGCATTTGCAGCAAAAAGCCTGAAGGGGATGACTATACTCACCAGAACAAATACAATAAGCTGTAGTTGTTATGGTAACTATAGTGTCCGTTTAAGCTGTGATTCATACAGTAAAGGTATGTTTAAAACGGTTGTGTGTGTAGGAAACCCACAGGCTATACATTGCGCTTAATAATGTGAATAGAATAACTGCATAGATGACAAGTTTTTCTCTTTTTGGGTCATGCAAATAGCAAGCTTTTTGGAATTGGTGGTGAAAGAGAATAATTTTCTGATACAGACTTGTTTCTTTAGTATTTAGTTGTGTAAGGTTCCTACTTTCTTTTAGTAAAAGCCTAGCATGGTGCTCCACACTTGGGTAGACGTCACACGAGTTACCTTACTGTCTCATCACCCTGACAGCCCGTACCTGATGAGAACTCTCGAAATAAAATTAATGCGGTTTCTATAGTAACTACATGAGATTCAGTGGTGAAATGCGAAACCAATGATTAGCCATTTCCGAAAAAAAAAACACGGCCCCTTTGGCATGCCAATATATTAATGCCAAACTCTACCGTGTAAAACCATTAAAAATTTGTAGGGACTCAAAACTTAACAGTTTTAATTAAAGACCCCCTTTAAGGTATTTGATTTGCCAACAGGTTTGTGCCACACATTAGTTCATTTGCTGTAGTGAATGGGTTAAGTTAGAGAAAGTGGTGAGTAGGCTCGGCATACACCGGCTCAGGCTGCACTGAAGCCGGACCATTATATTCCGGACACAACAGCCTTGCAGAGCCAGTGTCTCCCAACTCCTCAACCAACATAATATAGAATTGGGCAGTGAGTAAAGGCGTATGCCGAGCCTACTCACCACCTTCTCTTATAAGAGACAGTTTGTTTATTGAGTTTTTAACACTGAGTTTTAATAAATTTGTTTATACTTTGAGAATCCCTCGAGGAGAGGAAATCCCTGAATGGAACTCTGGGGAAACAGAGATAGATCCCTACCTAGAGAAGCTCTGGGGGAAATGGGGTCTGTACAGGAACAGGGAAAACAGGGAGAGAGGTATATGCCAGGAGGGCTATATGGATGAAGACATTTGTGGAGGAATTGCAACCGGGATAAGCTCCACACTAAACCCTATAATAAAAAACCTCCTAAACCAAACTCAACCCTGCCCCCCTCCATAAGGTAAAGGTAGATATAAAATTAAGGGAAAAGAACTCTCTAGAAGAGTGGGAATACCAGGAGCTGGCTAGGTGACTAATAGCTAAAATACTACTACATAGAGAATAAAAATATATATATATGGTACTATGCCTTTAAATCTGGAATGGACAAAGTATCCCTATAAATGTGCAAAAATGTGAATAAAGGTGCTATGAGTGGAGATCTCAAATAAACGGGATATCCCTTTAAATATGCAAAAATACAAAGAGAATGCTGCTATACCTTTAAATGTCCTTTACGCTCACACACACAATTAGAGACATAAACCCACATAACCACAGATACACACCCAATCACAGACCCACACATAATCAGAACACACACACTTAACCACAGAGATGCACACACAATAACACATACATACACACATTTAATAAAAGGTCCACTCAACCTTCCTACCTTGCTCTGGAAGGGCTGGAGTGGAGGGCTGGTGGTCAGTGGTTGCTGCTGGGATCTCTGTCCTCTTCCTGCACAGGTCCCTCACGTGCACTGTAATGACGCCGATGCGGGGATGATATCATATCCCAGCTGCCAACTCACTGCAGGGCAAAGACAGTCAAACACAGTTAGATGCACACAGTTATACACATATACTGTCAAATACAGCCACATGCACACAGTCCCAGACACATAGTTACTCGCACACAGTCAAACACACAGTTACAGGCAGACAGTCACACACAGTTACAGGCAGTAGCACGCTCAATTACAAGCAGACTGTATAGGCAGCATCACACAGTCAAAGGCAGACAGTCACACACACTCACTCAGTGACATGCAGACAGTCACACACATAGTTACAGGCAGACAGTCACACAAATTCATTGACAGTCACACACAGTCGCAGGCAGAAAGTCACACACACAGTCACAGGCAGACAGTTACACACTGGCACAGGCAAACAGTCACACACGCAGGCACAGGAAGACAGTCATACATGCAGTCATAGGCAAATAGGCTGACAGTCAAACACACTGTCACAGTCACAGGCAGACAGTCACACACACACACACAGTCACAGGCAGACACTCACACATACAGTCACACACACAGCACACACACTCTCTCACTTACTGGAGGAAAAGTGGTTACTGAAGTCTCTGGTCTGTAGTTGGGGAAGAAGGGACTCCTTCCTGCTTCCCCCTCTGTGTGCAGCAGCAGGTGGAAGCCGTATTTAGCTCTGCCCTGCTGCCAATTTGCCCCTGCCCTGACAAACGATTTCGCCCCTAGTTGCACCCAGGGCGGACTGACACCCCCCCATTTAGTACGCCGCTAGATATGGCAGATGGTACTTACCAAACCAGAATATCTTCTCTCTGGTTGTAAATGGGTATCGGGCAGGAAAGGGTACAGGGAAGCAGCCCCTATGGGGTGTCCTCAAACTCGTATGGTGTTGAGTCAATGTGGAAACTATGAGGACAGAAATAAGAATATTGTGTAGTTTTTTTCTACAGGTGGTAAGGTGCAATAAGAGAAATGCCACTTACAATTTTTTGGAGCTTATGTGCCTGGGAAGTATGATCCCTCAGCTTGGTTCCTTGTAGATGGTAGGTCAGGGTCAATGGCCAGTTGAGGTGTTGTGTGTTCACGGTTATTTTCCTCTATATTGCAACATTACAGATATTCACTTTTACTTTTTTAAATGACAATAAGAGTCGCATTAAATTAAACACAGAGATAAGCACCACTAAAGTCCAATTTCTAGGTCCATAAATTTACATAATAAACAACGGACTACACACAAAATCCTCCTTCCAAAAAAAAAAAAAGCCCAGTGGGGCTGCTGGGCGGCCAGCCAGTGACTGCAGACGGCAAAGGAGCATTGATTTTCCAGTACAGTTCCCTCACGCTCCGCAGAGTGATGCCGGAGCCGGAATATGAGCGTTTTTACCTCCTCAGCTCCATGGGCTTAAGTTTTTAATATTCCAGCCATGCTTGCCATTGTCTTTTGACTGGCGGCGGCCATATTGGTGTACCCTATGGTCCTGCTGCGGTGGCCATCTTGGTGTCCCTTTACATTAAAATAAAAAAAACAATTTCTGTATTTTATTTTGAAGTTTACTTTATTTTTTAAAATTCTTTATTTTTGATGTGCTTGGCATAATAAAGAGTACATAATACTCACTGCATAGCCTTACAAGTGTACAGAAAAACAAGCACATTTTTTGACAAAATGACAAAATACGTCTGACGTGTGCAGGAGAGAGAAGGCATTGTGTGCGCGCCTTCTCTCTCCTGCCTGTCAGCAGAGGAGAGGGGGCGGGCAAAGACCGCGAGCTGAGCTGTCAGTCAGCTCAGCTCACGGCCGCGTGCATGCACGGCAGTGCACTCAGGAGTGAATGCCCCCTTATGAAGTATGTGCGCCGAATGGAAGCATCTGATTGCTCCCTGCTCATTTTGACGAAATAGGGGGCGCAGCTTCACGAGGCTCCCGGCGCTGGAATGAGGTGAATAAAAAGGGCTGCCTGGAGTGTCCCTTTGAGAAAGTAGATCGTGACTAGCTGTATAGGCAGACCAGCAGTTTAGCTTTGAGTAAAGACCGCTCGAAGGCCCCCTAGACAAACTATAAATGAGAGCCCAACAAAAGAGATGAAAATAAGGACAATAGCTTATTTACTAAATTACCAGGCTATTCTGTCAGAAAGAGGTAGTCCCAGACTCGGCCTTGGTCTCAACCTATGCCCTGTATGGGCCGTGTACAGACCCTCCATGGAGGTCCAAGTATGAGGCGCAGCAACCAACTGAGTGGTCCTGTTGGTTTGCTGTGTGGCAATCAGGTATGTCCCGTGTGGGTAGAAGGGATTCTGTAGACTGGCAGAGACACCAGGTAAGTTCTTCCCTGCACACAGCCCACCTCCCTGCACAGATCTCCTCTCCCCCTGACAGCCCCCTCTCCTGCACACATCCCCTCTCCCCCTGACAGCCCCCTCCCCCCACATAATCCCCCTCCCTGTATAGATCCCCTCTCCCCTGCACAGCCCGTTCAGAGTCTGGGAGATGACAAGGTAGCAAAGTTGGTATCAGGACTCAGAGGTTCGGTACACAGCTCAACAAGAGAAGGAGCTCCGTCGGGACTTGGCAACAATTAAGTAACAAATTGATTGAGCCATCTGATAGTTGCCGCGGCTTCCTTTTACAATGGAAGGGCCTGACGTCAGACGCATGGGCGGAGTTGGATCGGCCAAACCCGGAAGTCATACAGGTGAACACCGATCAGATAGAAAATGATATTGGAAATCATGACCGATTTACTCGATGGTACCAAGGTCCTGCATGCTGCGTTGTGTGCTGCAGGTCTCACAATGGGCCTCGGCAGGAGTCTTTCACAGTGCTCATATGGCTCTTTGACATGTCTCCAGCTTTGCCACAAAGGTTTTGGTTATTTCATTCAGGTGGTGCAGAACATAGTTAGGACTATAGAATTGGATTGAAGGAACACCCGACATACGCCATCTAAAGTTCGCGAGAGTGTGTAATAAACATTTAACTCGCAAGTTGGAATAAACTTGGAATTAATAATATTAATAACTAAAAATAATAACTTAAAAACCGAGTGTAAAGTCAGAATCCACACTCCTTGCTTTCGGCAATAAAATAATATTAAGAGAGGCTAATCAAACAAACAATACATATACATTTGGAATAGGCTAGTACATGTTGCTACTAAAACTAGTCATTGACTTAATGGAAAGTAGGCTAAACTAACATAGTAAAACAGGCATAGACACATGATACAGTTACCACTCCATTGATCGTCAGCTGAGAGTAAGAGAGAGGGTGTGTATAGTAGGGAGAGAGGAGAGAGTGAGTGAGGAGGGTGAATTCAAAGAGTGAAAATGTTCTATTCACAGGGCTTTAACCCCTTAAGGAACAAACTTCTCGAATAAAAGGGAATCATAACATGTCACACATGTCATATGTCCTTAAGGGGTTAAACAGGTTAGCCCATCCTGCTGCTGGACACAGCTCCCTCAGTCAATCCCTTAGGATGTAACAGAACCAGAGTGCCTCCTGGAGGAAGGGGTATTGCATTGGAAGGGAATGGAGGAGGAGTTTATCAATAACCCAACTGATTTTGCCTGGTGAAAGGCCATGTGCTTCACAGAGGACTCTATTATTGCCTAAGGGTAGAATGGGGCTTGAATCCCTGTATTAAAACACAATAACACTTCACTGGCATACAGATTGACTGTTAATCACATCCCCCCACTTATTACAGAGTGCTAGTTGCTTGTTCAGCGGGGAAGCTGCATGTCTTAAGCACTACCAGGGAGCCTTCAGAGAGCTGACCGGGATAACCCCCGCTGGTCCAAAAACAGGGGGTGGGGGGAGGGAGGGAATAGGGCACCGATCGGCAGCACAGGTCTGAGGTGGAGATCGTCCGCTAACCACTCCCAGATTTACTAGGCTGCCAAGCCAGCTCGGGTTTCCTCGGTAGCATGAACACACGGAGGCCTGAATACACGCTCCAACACCACCCCAAAGTTTACTTATTTTTAACTACACACATACAATGTCATTATCTCCTTCACTGCTTTATAGTATCTTGTAGTTCAAAATTGCTTGTAGCTGATCACTTGACCCTCTCATTTTAATTGTGTATACTATTTAAACAGGACAGGTCCTAACGTACTATAACACTTTGAAAATCCCCTTTGGGTGGAACGCGTTAGTGTTTTTATGTCATTGGTGTTATCTCGGTTTTAAATTTAAAAAAAAATAAAAAATTTTACCTTACCTGGACCTTCCTGATTTTATCCCTGAACTTTTTATCTGGAGGTGCCACACCTTTTACCCCCTTGGTGGAGAGTAAACATTTTTGCTCTCTTTATGAGAGTATACCTCCTTTTATTTTGCTTTTACATTAACAAAACAGAGCACTATTTTCTATTTTTATTCTCATTTTATATAATTGGTGAATATCTGTCATGCTGCAAATTAAGAGGGAAATACCTGTGAACGCGCGACACAAACTGGCGCTTGACCCTGACCTACTATCGAGAAGGAACCAAGTTGAGCGACATATCCACAGGCGGGGATCATACTGCCGAGGTGCATATATCTGGAGCTGAACATAAGCTTCAGAATATTGTAAGTGGCATTTCTCTTATTTCACCTCACCACCTATAGAATATACTACACTATATTCGGCTTTCTGTCCTCATATTTTCCACATTGACTCACCACCATAAGAATTTGAGGACAACCAGAAGGCGCTGCTTCCCTGACCATTCCAATTATAATGTTGCTGAACACTAAATCCACAGGTAACTTGATAGTCTGATGTATGTTTTTTTTTTTTTATATCAATGTTCTTTTCACATGTCCTTTTCCGAGCCGATAATTTGAAGTACAACAAATTACCAATAATAAAAGAACAGGACCATTAAATTAAAAATCATTGGATTCACAGTTTATTTTACAATATTTGAGAGAAGTCTACAAGTTAAGGCATACATATTGATGCATTAGCGTTAAGAACTTAAATTTTAAAAAGATAATTGAAACTTTTTGAAATATCTAAGAAATGTTTGATTAAAAAAAAATAATATATATATATAGTTCAAATAGTCGAGATAACAGAAGCTTTAACAAAAAAAAAACCACAACTAAATAAAAATTACATGGTAAATCGGACGAGTATACGACGCAAACAACAAATGGCAATATTAACTCCATTCAAACCATGAACATCATCCAAGATTAACATACATTGGTAAATAAGATTGGCAGCGTTATGTGATACAGTTCATAACACGAAGAGCATTTAACTTTCTATTTTCACAAAAAAACAAAAAACGCGAAGTTGTAATTGTGAAGGACCAAAAAGCATTCTGAATAAATGTACACGTGGATACAGTGAGTGTGGGCCTCAAAGCATGTTACTGCTTCTACCATTGTAGCAGCCCTGTTTCCATGTTGGAGTTAGTCTTCTGAAGAGCGGGGGTGCTCAATCTACCAATCCTTGGAAAAGTGGCAGCTCTTGGATGTGGAAGGAGGGTCTATTTTAGCAAAGGAGGACGGAGTGTGCGTTATGGTTTCCCATTTAACACGGCCAGGCAGCTTTGCAGGAGCTGTAAGTTACCCTGCAATAAAAAATGTATAATAAAAAAGAAAATAATTTTTCATTGGTAACTTTTTTTTTTTTTTATGCCTTTACATATGTAATGGTAAACTTCCTGTCTATCGGTGAGGAAACGTGTTCATTAAAAGGAAAAAGGCTTTTCTATGGCGCAACAGTCTATTATAGGCATTTGTGTGATAAGTGAAGATTTGTTATACATGGTTATTCAAGAACATGAAAATTCTAAGTGAATTAAATTTGTATTTCAAATTTAAGGTAAAAAATAGCTGAAATTCTCCATGTTCAATTCTGCTACTTTGTTCTTACATTTCAAGTTCACTTTCAATTCTTACTTTAGTGGACAGCCCTGATAAAGTGTAATTTGCACTCACCAAGATGTTCCGTGAATATGAACGTATATAGCTATTCAACTCTTCATAAACTATGAAGACATTATAGGCACCATAACCACTGCAGCTCATTGTAGTAGTTATGGTTCTCTGCATTTTTAGGCTCCATGCCAAGACACTCACATAATACTTATACAAAGTTTTTTGAAGAAGTAATTTTTTTTATGAAAAGGCAGCATATGCGTTACAAAAATAAAAATAGTGAATTTAAACCTGGAGCGCCCCTGTAAATGTGTGCTACCTTGGCGTGCTTCAGTTCCAGTTCAGCCAGTTCTACTAAATTCTTTCTAAATGCGGCCACTCTTCGAGTTTTGAAATCCATGAGTTCTAGGTAAAATACATAATAATTGGGTTCATGAGCAACAGCAACACAGTAAAGACAAAATAAGTCATGTTCATGTATAATATACAAGTTCAGTGATATATGGTTTAAATCAAGATTTTTTTTTTTACTTTAGTTCACATTTATTCTAGCACTATGTACAATATAGTCTTCTCTACACAATAACAGACAAGACGTAAAATTGTGGGAAACGGCTGCTAGAGCAAGGGTAGGCGGACTTCAGCACCTTAGCTGCTGTGAACTACATCCCCCATGATGCTTTGCCAGTATTATGGCTGTAAGGACTTTTTGGGAGACGTAGTCTACAATATCTGGAATGCCGAAGATTGCCTAAACCTGGTCTATACTACGTGTAATGAGAAGTGTAAACGATTTTAGATATTTAGGTCCATAATTTTTCTGGTGTTTTTAACATAAGTATCAACTAGTCTCTGGCTACGCAACTTAACATATAATCGGACGATAAATAGTACAACATTGATAAATAATAGTAGTATTACAAAGTACCTTGTTTTGCAGATTCTGATATCTTTTCAAACTTCTGGCAGAATAACTGTTGAGTGGTTTCAGCTGATAAAACGTCTTTGTTTTTTGCTCTGGCCTTGTCTAGGGCTTTATTAGCGTTTTCATAGTCCACCAATGAGCGAGATCTTCTATACAGGAGATCCTAAATATACAAACGAATCATTAGTTTAAAAAACAGAGTGCATTAAACAGGAATATGAAAAATATTAAAAAAAGACTTAAATCGCACCTTTTACATACCTTTATACAAATAAAATTTATATAAGCCACATACGGAATTAAGAAATAAGGAAAGTATGTCTCACCGAGAGCGGGCAAAAAAGGAGGACCGCTTTCAATTGGACAGCGTCCGTGTGGGTAGTACTTGGGCTGGACCCAAAATATAGAACTGAAGTGAAAAAATAAATCTGGAAAAACTTCTATCCAAAGACCTAGCTGATAGGTAATGAGAGCTGGCACTGGAATGCTCACCAATCCCAACCAGCCTAAGAATAGCATGAAGTAAGATAAGGCTGTGGCAAAAGAATAGGGATTGACCAATATTGATTTATTTTTTTTTTTAGAGCAGATACCGATAACCAGTGAACATTCAGGCCGATAGCTTACCGATATTCTGTACACTTACCATATTTATTTTTATTTTTTTGCTAATTTTTTATTAAGTGGTAAATGCACAAAATATACATGCCAGTCAGATATTTTTTATGTTTTGAAGAATATTTATACGTGTGTGTGTAGTGGATGCAGTGAGTATTTGATTAGTAAATGCAGTGTGTGTGTGTAGTGGATGCAGTGAGTATTTGATTAGTAAATGCAGTGTGTGTCTGTGTTTGTGTAGTGGATGTAGTGTGGGTAGTGGATTCGGTGTGTGTTTGTGTAGTGGATGCAGTGTGTTTGTGTGTAAATATGTGCAGTAGGAACCCTCCCTCCCACCCCTTACCCGTCTCTTCATGCGCCCCCCACCCATTCCCCTTAATGTCCCCCCCACTCCAGCGTTCCATTTCCCTTCCCTGTACCTTAGTGTCCTCCCTTAACGATCTCTCCCCGTCCCTTAGTGTTCTCCCCCCCTTCCCTGTTCCATAGTGTTCCTTTCCACCCCTTTCCCCAATCGTGTTCCTTACCATTACCACCCCTCCTTAGCATAGTGTTTCTTACCACCCCACCCCCTGTCCCATAGTGTTCTACCACCCAGTCCCATAGTAATCCTTATCACATTCCCTACGGGAATTTCTTTCTTAAATGGAAAGGGGTTATGACTCGCCCAATTTAGCAGACAGCTGGTGGAGGATTTTCCCCTAAATAAACCGCTCTGCATAAAGCCGTGCTCATTAAGTGTTAATATTGTGTCAAGAAAGTAAATGGTACAGCCTACCATCTCTGCAGTGAAATTGAGATTCAAGGCGTTACTGAGTGCAATGACAAAACTCCAAAAGCGCCTATCTGTATTATTCCAGATGATAAGCACGTCATCGATGAAACGCCTCCAGAGTATGACAGATTCCGTAAATAATTTAAGTTTTTCTGAGAACCCCACTGTCGCTCTTCCCATCAGCCAAGGTGAAGGCTAGCATACGATGGGGCACAAAATGTCCCCATCGCAGTCCCCCTATTATGCTGGTAGTAAGTACAGTAAAAGACAAAGTAATTATGAGGAAGGACAAATTGGAGAAGCTCAACAACAAAGTCACTATGTGCCTGTGTGTTGGCTCCTCTAAGTTGTAAAAAATGTTGAGTGTACATCAGACCAAGTTCGTGTAGAATGGTCCCTCCACATCAACGCTACAAAGCCTAGATCCTTTTGGGGGTCCTTGCACTTTAGAAATCTCATAAAAGGTTTGCTTGGTGAAGATATGAGGGTAACTGCTCAACTAGCGATTTCAAAATCATGTCTATGTACATACTGACATTTTGTGTTAGATTATTCCTTCCTCCCTGAGACGATTAGTCTACCAGCTAGTTTGGTTTGTTGTTTATGGATTTTTTGTAGTGTAGAAAATGTAGCAAAGCAAGGTGAAGTATTAAATAGAAAATTAAATTTATCTTTGGAGATCAGTTGTTCACCAAGGCCTCTCTCTAATAGAATTTTTTAATTGGGCAGAACATTTTGGTGGGGTCATTTCTAAGGATTTTTTAAGTCACAGATTCTTGAAGCAATTGCAAACAAATGTCAACATAGTGTGATGTATCTAGGTTGACAATATTAAGTTCAGCCTTCCTCACATCTGTTTTTTGCTGTTGATGCAAAAGAAACATAGAATGTGACGGCACATAAGAACCATTCGGCCCATCTCGTCTTCCCAATTTTCTAAATACCTTCATTAATCCCTGGCCTTATCTTATATCTAGTATAGCCTTATACCTATCCCACGCATGCTTAAACTCCTTCACTGTGTTAACCTCTACCACTTCAGCTAGAAGGCTATTCCATGTGTCCACTTCCATCTCTGTAAAGTAATACTTCCTGTAATTCTTTTTAAACCTTTGCCCCTCTAATTGAAGACTAATGTCCTCTTGTTGTGGTAGTTTTTCTTCTTTTAAATATAGTCCCCTCCTTTACTGTGTTGATTCCCTTTATGTATTTAAATGTTTATATCATATCCCCCCGTCTTGTCTTTCCTCCAAACTATACATGTTAAGATCATTTAACCTTTCCTGGTAAGTTTTATCCTGCAATCCATGAACCAGTTTAGAAGCCCTTCTCTGGACTCTCTCTAAAGTATTAATATCCTTCTGAAGATATGGTCTCCAGTACTGTGTACAATACTCCAGG